CTTATATACAGAAATAGAACAACATCCTCTAGTAAATAAACAAAACGACAGTTTTACAAAAGATATGGATGACAATTCTGATAATGACTATCTATCGTTTGAAGAAGAAGAAGAAGAGGAAGGTGATAATGATAATGATGAAGAGAATGATTATTTCTCGGCAGTGACTCCACTTTCAACTATTTCTAAATATACAAATCGAGGCCGTCGAACGTCAGTCAGTGCTGAATCCATCACACCTTCTTTTACTGCTACTGATACTATGATGACTAAAAAAAAATGGATTCCTAAAACGGATTCCCAATTACACGCCATTCAAGAAAGTGTCCGTCATAACTTCCTTTTTAAAAATCTAGATGAAGAGCATTATGAAGACGTTATGAATGTGATGGTTGAAAAGCAAGTTGAATCAGGTACAGTTGTGATTGAACAAGGAGCGACGGGTGACTATTTTTATGTGGTTGAAGAGGGACTTTTAGAATGCTGGATTGATCATCAACAAATAACCTCGTATCATGCTGGTGGAAGCTTTGGAGAGTTAGCTCTCATGTATAACGCTCCACGCGCGGCTACGATTAAAGCTATCACAGACTGCGTATTATGGGCCCTAGATCGTGTTACGTTTAGAACAATTTTGATGGAAAATACATGCCGAAAAAGAAAGATGTATGAAATATTTTTAGAAGAGGTACCCTTGTTAAAATCATTAGTATCTTATGAAAGACATAAGATTGCAGATGCTTTAGAGTCAGTCTATTTTAACGATGGAGAGAATGTGATTTTAGAAGGTAACAGTGGAGATCAATTCTACATTATTGAATCCGGTATTGCTATTGTATATAAAAATAATGAAAATGAACAAAAAGAAGTCGAACAAAAAGAAGTGAATCAGTTAGAAAGAGGTGCTTATTTTGGAGGTAAAATAGTTATTTATTTATTTATATTTATTTTTTGGTGATAATCAATACCTTGACAATTTTTATATGTAATGGAATGTATAATAGAGTTGGCTCTATTAAATGATAGCCCAAGAGCAGCTACAGTAATTGCTAAAGGAAAATTAAAGTGCGCAACATTAAGTAAAAAAGCATTTACACGACTTTTAGGTTCAGTTCATGAAATATTAAAAAGAAATTCAGAAAACTATCATGCAATTATCAGTCAACAAGAATCATAAAATATTAGATGCATACTACAATAAAAATATCTGTTTTGTCTCCTTTTTTCCCTTCCTCCTTAAAAATTAAGTATAAAAATACACCTCCCTATTATGTCTCTCCTTTTGGATTTTTAAATATATACGTATATACTCGTTCTTTTTTTTTTCTTTTTTTTTTCTTTCATTGTCTCTTTCCTCTTTCTTCCTTTGTTTTTATTAAGCATGACGATGGTTACCCTTCAACCTTCTATTGAGTCTGTTCCAGTACCTGGTACAGGTATTGCTAATTTACCTAATCAACGTCACAAGATAGTAGCCAAGAATGGTGCTAACTTTACTTTAATGGTTTGTGGTAAGAGATATAAATAGATAAATAGATAAATAGATATTGATATAAAATGATAGGTGAATCAGGGGTTGGTAAAACAACATTTGTTAATACGCTTTTTACAACAACCATTAAAGAACCGAAGAATTTAAATAAAAGACGTATAAATAAGACGCCTTCAAAGACTGTTCAAATTCAAATCACTAAATCAGGTATGTGTGTGTGTGTATATATATATTGCAGGTATGTCGTCTTTTATGCCTGCCTCCTAATAAGTACGCATCCTAATAGAACTAGAAGAAAAAATGTTCAAGGTCAAATTAACTGTAATTGATACTCCTGGATTTGGTGACTATGTAAATAATCGTCATAGTTGGATTCCGATAATCGATTTTATTGACGATCAGCATGAAAATTATATGAGACAAGAACAACAGCCTTGTCGTAAAGGTGTTATGGATATGCGGGTTCATTGCTGTCTTTATTTTATAAAGCCTACTGGTCACACGTAAGCTATTTATTCTTGAGTGAAAAGGGGCTTGTTTAAATAATAATATTCTACATAGTTTATCACCTTTAGATGTTGAGATGATGAAAAGGTTGGGTTCGCGTGTTAATTTAATTCCGGTTATCGCTAAAGCAGATACTTTAACACCTTCTGATTTAGCCAAATTTAAGCAAAACGTAAATAATTCTCCTTTACATATTTTCTTTTTTTTTCTCCTCCTTAACATCTTTCTCCTTTATAGGTTAGAGACGTGATTGCTGCTCAAAATATTCAATGTTACTCTGCCCCTATTGAAAGTGATGATGAAGCGACAATGAAGCGTAATATTAATATTATGGCAGCTATGCCTTTTTGCTGTCATTGGCTCTACACAAGATATAAAATTGCCTAATGGTCGCATAGCCAAAGGACGTGCATATTCATGGGGAGTCGCTGAAGTAGAAAACGATGAACATTGCGACTTTAAAAAACTAAGAAGTTTATTGATTCGTACACATATGCTGGATTTAATTACAACTACAGAAGAAACTCATTATGAAAAATTATCGTCAAATGCAAATGGAGACTCGTAAATTTGGTGATCCACGGTAAGAAGGAAGGATTTTTTTTTTAAAAAAAAAAATAAAATAAAATAACAGTAAATATTAATATCAATTAAATAGTATTGAAAAGGATGAAAATGCTAAATTTGCTGAAGAGGAAGAGGCTCTTAGAATTACTTTTACTGATAAAGTTAAAGCTGAAGAAACTCGTTTCCGTCTCTGGGAACAACAGGTAAATAATCTAAGAAAAAGGAGAAAAAAAAAAGTATAATTTACTCATCTAATGTATATATAAAAGCTCCTATCTGAAAGAGACCGTTTACATAAAGAATTAGAAGCCCAGAATGAAAGAATTAAAGAATTACAATATGAAATTGAGGCTTACTATAATCAACGTGATTCTCCAAGAAACATTAGAAAATAAAGAAAATAAACTTTTTTTTTTTTATTTGTTTCATAATAGAATAAATAGTAATTCGTTATTTTAAGCATTTTTTTAAATTTTTTTTTTTTTTTTTTTTTTTTTTTTTTTTTTTTTTTTTTTTTTTTAATTATTTCTTTTTTTTTATGTATTCAAGAAATACCGTTATTCAATAATAATAGATTTTCACCTGATTCGAAATTCACACCTAATTGTAATTCAATGAATGAAACAGCAAATAATGAATGGCTAACTTTTGTTCATTCAGAAGTTGGTTCATCTCTCTCTGATTTCAATGACGACATTTTACATAAGAGACATAGTTATAAAACATCTATTGATGCTGATAATAATGATAATAAACAAGCCCCATCTCAACGTGAATCGCTTCAAGTAATGCCCACACAAAGCAACTAGATCTCATCCTTCCTGATCCTCTACTTGTTTTTGTGGAAAGCCTGCTCATAGAAGTTTTACGTTAGAATATGGCCTATCCTTGAATGTACAGTTATAACTTAGGATCCTTCTACCATTACCGATTCAATTACCAGTATTAAAAGTAAATTCATTTGTGGCTTTCATGTCCATGAACGATCATGGAATGAATTTCGTGAACAGCTTAAAAAGGGCCATACAGTCAACTCAGAATTTTCTGAACTTCGTACATGCCCACTTTATAACTTTACTTATTGCACCGTCTTTCACTTGACAAATTCTTATCTTTTAGAACCACCTACCAAGTTGCCTGATTGCTTTTGTCAACGACCTGTTGTTATGCGATTCAAAAATAATCTTATTCAATTTGTTTGTAAAAACATCAGTGTAGACGGTGCTCGTAAATGCAGCTGGATTTTGCCTGCTAATGAAGTTGCCTTCCCTCGTCCTCAACATCGCATTCATACTCGTGTAAGTCAAGATATCTATCTTGATCAGAAACAAGAAAAGAAAAAGTCTTTATCAAATACTAGACAATCAGACATCATTACAGAAAAACCTTCTACTTCATCTACTAGTTCTTCTACACCTCATCCAGTTAAAACAATGAAAGAGCAACATAAATTTGATTTATTAGCTGCCTTGTCTGCTTCTTCATCGATTAAAGACGAACAAAACCAAATGAAACAACTACCGCCTATAAAGTCTTTGATTGTACCCACCTGTGTTATGGTTAAAAAGAAAAAGCGAGAGCAACAAGAAAAAGAGAAACAAGTCTCCTATAAATTTGTTTCCCCTACTTCTTCTCCTTCGTTATCCTCCTCCTCCTCAGCCTCACCTTCTCTCCATTCATCTACTGTAACTTCACCTGTAACTGAACATGTTAACCTTACATCAGCCATAGACCATCATGACGAGATCATTGCTCTACGTAAAGAACTAGAGACAGTTAAGATCCAAGTAGAACAAGTCCTACAAGATAACATCAAGCTTAGATCAGAACATGAACAATCCCTAAGAGATAACAACCAGAAAGATGAATTCATTCAAGACTTAACAAATAAGCTGCAACGACACAAGGACAAGCTTGCAGAATTTCAAACAATACTTTATCGTAATAAAAATGAAAATGATGAGGAAGTGATACTAAGAATGAATTGTCAAGAACGCTTATCAAATATTGAATTAGAAGTCGTTCATTGGATGAATGAAAATGAAAAATTAAAAGAAGAATTATATCTTTGTCGTGAAGAGAATAAAAAATTAAGTACAGAGGATGAACGAACGAAATGTAAAGTTTGTTTTAATCGAAATATTGAGTATATTTTATTACCTTGTTTTCATTTTGGTAAGTATTATTTATTGTGATTTTTACTAGTCGACTTAATTTTTTTTTTTTGTATATATATCTATTTTAGCCTATTGTCAACCTTGTGCTTCTAAATTAACAGAATGTGCAGTATGCAGAAAATCTATTCAAAGTGTGCAAAGAGTCTACACTTGTTAAGAAGAAGAAAACAAATCCCTTTATTTATATCACATATAGAAAATGATACCCTATTTCTTTCACTTTTATTAATTACATGATACTTGATAATAATTAGTTATTTTCTTTATTATAAAAAAAAAAAAAAAAAAGGATATTTTCCCTTCCTCCCTATCCCTCCTCCCCCCCTTTTTTTTATTATTATTATTATTGTTATTATTGTTATAAATATTATAATTGCGTACATATTCCTTAATAAATAAGATTTTTTATATGTGATGAGAAGAAGGATTTACCATTTGTGAAACAGTGGCAATAACTTCACTATCCAATTCATCCAACTCATATATTCCTCCTTTCTTTGTCGTTAAATTTAAATCATTCATAAATAAAGATTGACCAAGATGTGTTTTCATCTCTCTTGCATATCGCTCTTTATCTTGATTTGCCAACTCGATCCAAGGCTGTCGTTCCTGATCTGTTAATGACCGCCACCGCACACCAATTTCTCGACTAATCTCTACAAGTCTAGCCTCTGGGGACTCCCTTTTTAAAGTAGGTCTCATTTCTTTTGCAAATGCAAGTAGCCAGACATGGGATGCTTTGGTAATAAGCCATTATTCTTCTTTCGTCCTCTTGGGTCACGTACATACTGATGATGATGATGATGTGAAGGCTTTGATGCTATCGCAGTCGTTGATTTCTTACTATTATCATTGTTATATTAGAATTGGTATTCAGATAAGAAGCTCGTTTTGTATGTGCTTCCTTCATTTCTGCTTTTGAACGTCTTGTATAAATAATGTTGGCATTATTATGTTTTTCTTTTAATTTTGATTCTTCTTTAAAATAATGGTCCTTTTGTTCCTAATTCAACAATAAATAATATATAATAAAAATTGTGAGTGGGTGAGTGCCTTTTTTTTTTTTTTGTTATTACCGGTGGTAGTTCTTTCCAACGTTGACTAATGGATTTACTTATTTCACCTGAACTTAATCCTCGATTTACGTTATGACGTCTCATGTCACGATTAAATAATAAATAAGCATTAGGTGGCCGTTTGATTTTTTCAGGTATTTCACCATAATTCTTCTTCATCATCTTAGGCTGCTTCACTGGGTCGTTATTGGTATTAAATGAAAGAGATTCAAGTGCTGCTGCTTCCGCTGCGGCAGAATAAGTAAGGTGATAAGATGGAAGTAATTTTTGTTCATAATAGAATGAAGAAGAAGAAGAAGAAGAAGAGGAAGTAGGATCGACTAGTAAGGGTGGTACCTTATTGTAAAGTTGTTGGGACGAAATAGGTATTGATCGTTCGGAATAATCATGGAAGAAGGAGTCGTAAAAGAAGAAGATGGATTGATACACTGGTTATGAAATTCTTCCGCCTTTTGGTTTTTCCAGTCCTCTTTCTCTGTCACTTGTTGATTCGAAATAAATAGTTGTTGATCGGTTGTCGCTTCATCATTATGTCGATTGTCATTGTATAGATAAAGCTAGAATTAGATGTTTGTTCGTGAAATGTACCGATCGACATTAAAAAAAAAAAATAAAAAAAATAAAAATAAGAAGAAGAAAAAAAAAAGAACAAGTGGCTCATTTATTATGTGCCTTAAGGGGTGGGAATATATACTCTTTTTTTTTTTTTTTTTTTTTTTTTGTAACTTGGAATATCATTTCAGTATAAACATCTTTTCTTTTTTTTTTCAAGTATATATATAATTGTTATCAAAAGCTTTATATATGTATGTATATATGTACGTGTTGATTGTAAATTATTTTCTTAACTAATTTGACTTGAATCCAAGTAAGTTTTATGTATAAAGTAAGCATTATGCAGTATTAAAGTAACAAAGAGAAATGATAAGCTTTAATTCTTTTACATAGTGTTACTATGACAATTATTAAATGAAATCCGAGTTTTTTTTTTTTTTTTTTTTTTTTTTTTTTTTTTTTTTTTTTTTTTTTTCCTCTAAAATAAAAGGGGCAGGATTCTAATAGCTTTCTCGAACATTATTTGTATTGTAGAAGCTTTTTTAACAAACAAAGAAAATAAACTCAGTTACAAAAAAAAAATAAATATTTATAAATGTTGATGAGTTACTTCAGGGTAGACACAAGATGATAAATGTATCAAATTCATTTAAACGATTTACAAAGACAGTAGTAAAACTAGTTCCTAATTTATTTTTCAAAAATTTCCTTATCAAAATACGTGTTATAATTTAACACTGAAAAAAAATATTATTTTGGATTAATAATAAAATCTGATAAATTATTAAAGCTTTTTTTTTTTTTTTTTTTGTTCTAATTTAACGTCATAGATCATAAGCATGGATATTAATAATTCAAGCATATATTTTGATTGGTTAAAGTTATTTTATAAAATAAACAATGTTAATTTTATTTCTTTTTTTTTTTTTTTTATTTTTGTGTTGTTTTTTTTTCTTCAAAAAAAAAAAAAAAAAAAAATTGTCAATAGCGAGTCACGACGGAAATGTCTGGTAATGCAAATTAAAAACATAATTATTAATAATCAAACATAAAAGTGATAAATACTCTATTTTTTTTTTTTTTCGTATCTTTTTTTAACCTTTTTTCTTCCTTTTTTTTTTTTTTTTTTTTTTTTTATTTCAGCTATTCAACGACTTCGACAAATACATACATCCATAAAAAAGATGCCACCACTTCCTAAACCTACAAAGAAAGAATATGATTATATTGTGATTGGTGCTGGTTCTGGCGGTATGGCAGGCGCTAGAAGAGCAGCGGGTGTTCATGGTGCCAGTGTTGCTATGATTGAAAAACACAGTGTTCTCGGTGGAACCTGTGTGAATGTGGGTTGTGTCCCTAAAAAAGTAATGTGGAATACAGCCTCCATCTTTGAAACTTTACGTCAGGCTAAAGGTTATGGTTATGAGTTTAGCGACGTTAAATTTGATTGGAATACAATTAAACAAAAACGAGATGCTTATATTCAACGTTTAAATGGTATCTATGATAGAAATGCTGAAAGAGAAAATGTAGAGCATTTCCATGGTTATGCCTCCTTTGTTGATAACAACACCCTTCGTGTCGAGAGTCGCGATAACGATCATTCTACTTTTGAAATCAAGGGGAAAAAATTTTTGATTGCTACGGGTAGTCATGCTATTGTACCTAATATCCCTGGGGCTGAGCTTGGTATCACGTCAGATGGATTCTTTGAGTTAGAACATCAACCTAAACGTGTGGCTGTGGTAGGTACAGGCTACATTGGTATTGAGTTAGCTGGTATTTTCCATTCCCTTGGATCAAACGTTACTGTCTTTTCCCGTACAAAACAAATCTTGAGAAAGTTTGATACGATTATTAAGGATACTTTATTGGACCACATGCAGAAAGTAGGTGTTCAGTTTACATTTGATTCTAAGGTCACTGCCTTGAGAAAGACAGATACAGGGATCACTGTTGAATTTGAATCTGATGGTGAAAAGGGTCAACTTGAAGTTGATTGTGTTCTTTGGGCTGTGGGTCGTGCTGCTTCTACAGATGGATTAAATTTAGATGCCGTTGGTGTGAAATTGAATGAAAAGAAACAAATTATTGTTGATGAATATCAAAATACAACTGCAGAAAATATTTATGCCCTTGGTGATGTTATTGGAAAAGCTGAATTGACTCCAGGTAATATAAGAAATAGAAATAGAAATATACACAACACATTAGCCATGAGGTGAGATAAATACTTATTTTATATACATATTATATTTTTTTAATATCTAGTTGCAATTGCTGCTTCTCGTAAATTGAGTGATCGTCTCTTTGGTGTCCCAAGTTTGAGAAAGCTAAATTGGATTATGTAAATATCCCTACTGTCGTTTTTCTCATCCTACATCAGGTACCATTGGTTACACTGAAGAAGAAGCTCGTAAGAAGTTTGGTGATGACAATATTAAGGTCTATACATCTCGATTTGGTAACATGTATTTCAGTGTCCTTGATGAAAAGGAACCTACTGCCTATAAGATTATCGTAACTGGACCCGAAGAAAAGGTAGTGGGTCTTCACATCATTGGTAGAGGAAGTGATGAAATCCTTCAAGGTTTTGGTGTAGCTATTCGTATGGGTGCAACTAAGGCTGATTTTGATAATTGTGTTGCTATTCATCCAACATCTGCTGAAGAATTGGTAAGAATTTTGTTTAAAAAAAAATATATATTTATTTAAAGCCTTATTGGACTCATTATTCTTTTTTTTTGTTTCCATATAACAGGTTACTATGCGATATAATTATACATTAAAAAAAATGCTTATTTAAATTATTACAATTATAAAGTGAAAATAAGATTATACATTGCTAGTATAGAAATATAAATAATATTTATGGAATAAATCCATTATGTTTATTACACTAATGTCCTTTTATTGCAACACGTGATGCTACAAGTCTTATAACAAGCAATCAGAGAAGCATTCATTCCTTTTCAAGGAACTATAAAACTGTCTTTATATTATTTTTCATGTAGTTTTGTTTAAGTGATAATAAATAATTATTTAAATCTTTATCCATAACTTCTCTAATCAAAACTCCCTTTTCATTAAACCATGTTGTCATGTTTGGATTAACTACAGATTGAACGGTCTTTCCTTTTACTCGATCACTATAAACCATTGTAAGCTTATACAAAGGTGAGGTTTTATCAAATTCTGATGATATTTTCAATGTGCCTGTAACCTAATCATATAGTCAGAATACATTTTTCTTTCTCTTTCTTTTTTTTTTTTTTTTTTTTCTTAATTTACCTTTCCATCTACTTTTTGATGACCAACAAAGATTTCCCCTTTTTCAACAAAATATGTATATACAAGCAATATTGATTGAAGGATCCAATAAACAATAACACACATTGTAGTTACATGAAGTGCCTCATTAAAACTTGTTTTATACTCATTCAAGAATGCGCCTCCTGCAATAAAGCAAGATATAAATCCAAGAATTAACTTGAAATCAGTATGCACATGAGATTGAGTAAAGTGTTGTTCTTTTGAATAATACTATTTAAAAGGGAATCATTTAATTACTCGAATTTCTTTATCCTTTCTACTCTCACCCCTCCCCTTCTCCTCTTTTTTTTTTTTTTTTTTTTAAGAATAAAATATTTTCATGTGTCTAATATTTTACACGAGAAAGCTCATCATCAACAGCATTCCTTAATTGAGTAGCATCATATTTATTAGTTACTTCAACTGGGTCAAGTGCTTCTTCTAAATGAATTTTAAATAATTTAAAACAAATGATTCTATCTTGGTAATTTAAATGTACCTTTAGTTATTGTTTGGGTCATTTTTTAAAGAATAAAAAATAAAGGGAGGAGGAGGAGAAGGGAGGAAAATAAAAAATGGTGCATATATCATTTAACGCGATGATGATTACTACTGCCACGTCGCCCAATTAAAGAGCCGCTTTATAACACAACGACGACTCTCTGTCTCTCTCTCTCTTTTATTTATTTATTTATTTATTTAAGCTATGTAATTCGGAATAAAGTATCTTGATACAGCCGTCATCCTCTGTCGTCTTCTCTTTTTTCCTTTTTATACAACCTGACTTTTTTCTTTTGCTGCTTGCTGCTGCATTGTCCTGTAAGGAACTTGTGTATCGCTTGCGTTGCGGTAAGGAGATGACAATGAAAGAGGGTTCATGACGGTACATAAATGGCATATCTTATAAAAGAGTATTATAATGTTAAATGAATGAATATTGGTAAAATAAAGATAGAAGAGAGAGATATATATATATTTATATATTTATATATTTATATATTTTTTTTCCTCTCTCCACTTTATGTATTGCTTTTATGAAATAATGAAATTCTTTGTAACGGTCATTATCTTTTAATTTAATTGTTTAAAATTGAGTAAAATAATAATAAAATAAATCTAAAAAAAAAAAGAAAAAAAAAAAAAAAAAGAAAAGAATAGCTTAAAAATACACTTATTTAAAAATAAACAAAAGTATCGTAAAAAGAAAGGGAGGACGGGGAAAGTAACGCGAAAGACCATGTTAAAAGG